GTCATTGTTGTTTGGCTGGTCCGGGCTGGATTCGAACCTGCCACCTTAGGTGTATGTGGCTGGCACCTTAGCCACTTGAGCCACAGGCACCAAGCCAGTCAGTCTTTTTCATTGAATAAATTAGTTTAGCACAGGTGGGCTATAGTTTTTTTGGACTATTTTCCTCTCTCTGATTTCCCCTTCCACTAAAGCAGTTGCTAAAATAAACAGTACCTTCAGTATACTGGGTTTGATTATTTACATAGAGTGCAGTAAGAATAATTAATTATTAGCCAAATAGACCTTTTGAAAAATTGGCTTTGCTGGAATCCTTTGTATGGGATCTAAGTTGGACTTGAAGCTTTTCACAAGCCCAGGTTTCATCTGTGCCATTAGATACCTGTATGCATTGGGTAAATCCCTCTTTTCTTGAGGTTCCCAAGCATATTTTGACTCCCAGACCTGTCAGGAAGTTACCTTCATTACTTACCACAGATCAGGAAATGTTACTGATGGGTATCTGGCCAGTTTTCCAAAGGGCTTTTTATTGGCTTTATAAAGTCAACCTTAATCCTTTAATGGAATCTGGACATCTCTTGAAATGCTATTACAGTCAAAGCCTTAGTAAAATAACCAGTGCCTTTATCATGTCCTACAGAACAAAACAGATTCTTATTGAACTTATACAAATAACTGTATTGTTGGAAATTAAGAATACTTATAAATGGCTTGTAAATTTCGGAGAAATCAAGGAGAGAGAAAAAAATACATGTTTAAGTATACATATTGTTTGAAAAGCTACAAATAGTTTAAAAGACAGAAAATTAATTTCTTGATTTCTGGAAAACAACACAGAAAGAATCAACAATATTTTCAACAAAAGTTATAACAAACTGGCTCACTTTCACATAACTGATTTCTGTTCTGTTTGAAGTTAGGTTAGCAATATTTATAGACATGTTAACTTTTCAATGAGAGTTTAAAAATCTGCTTTTAGTCAGGAATTTGAATTTGAGAGAATTCGTCAGTTTCTCTTAATATTTCTTTCTCCTTTCTTTTGGTATATATGCTGCCGAAATGAGCACTCTCCTTTCTTTTGGATAAACTTTGAACTCAGTTACATAAAAAACCTTTTTTTAAGATGAATTAAAATTATTACTGACAATATATAGTAGGACAGACCAATGTCTTATACGTTAGGATGGACCAATGTCTTATACATTAGGACAGACCAATGTTTTATAATATTGGAACATACATATATAATTATAATTTATATAAAATTAATTACCATTTTACATTTGAAAATGTTTCTTATACACTTTTAATAAATCAAATAAGTCTAATTTGTTTTTCTCAGGTTCTGAACCTTCCAGTCTCGGTTTATGTGGCCTGTGCCACAACCACTGTGCTATGGGCACCAAGCCCTAAATTTAGAGTTTTGGTTTTAGAAGGTTTGTCAAATATCAAAGGCTTAAAACATTTGTTCAAACAAGATTATAAGCTAAAAGATTTTAAAGGAAATACACACTGAACTGGATCACATGTAAACTTTTTCACAAAATCCTTTTATGAGCTTTATTTAACCTGTACAGATAATATACCAACATTTTAAATCTTCTTTGACCTTTGTCTTGCCTTTCACTCTTTTTTAAGAACAACTATTCTGTTTCAGGATAAATTTATCACACAATATTCTTTCCTTATACAATGCCATTTTTCTTTCTGTCTAATTTTCCTTACTCCCTAAAATTCCCTTCTTACAAAACAGGATTACAGTTAACCATTTAGTTGCCAAACTGATAATTAGAAAGTTTTAAAAGGCAAGAATTTTTCTCTGATAAAGACTCAGTTTTTTTAGGTAATTAAATTCTTACATTTTACAAATGAGAGACATTTGTGAAATATATTATTAATACAGGATTTTCCTAATCAGGGATAGACAGGGAATTTTTATTTTTCAGGCTCAGGTGAGTTCAGAAATCAGATTTTTATTTCTAGGCACAAACACATTGCAGGTCATACCCTTTGAGCCCTAGTAAGGTTATGAATAAAGCAGTTCCAAACATTTTGGAAGGCTTTACTCTGACTAGGGAGTATACATCCTAATTTCTTCCCAGATAAAAACTGCAAAGATATAATAACTTTGCCTAAGGTGAAGGGTAGTATTTATTCATTTGTTAGAATACCCATTCAGTTTGTAAAGGTATGTTTCCATTTATCAAGTTCTGGAAATTTTTAAAGGAGGCAGGACAGGGGCGACCCTGCCTTGACTGAAGATTTTGTTTCATTTTTACATTATTTTGCCCAAATGTAGGAATGGGGAGTGGTCCTGGTCTGGGTATTATTCAAGAAAGAGAATCAGGGCTGTTTTGGCTAAGGGCTGCAACAAGGAAGTAATAGTTAAATTCTGCAAAGTAGCGGCAGTAAGGTGGGAAAGGCACACAAAAGTAGTGGGTAAGTTTGAAAGGAATCAAAACTCTCTTTACTATGTCTAAATTTTTTTTTTTTT